TATATATATATAGGGTTATATAGGTTTAGGGAACCGGTTCCATTACATATTTGTGTGGTCAATATATTGTAGGCAGAATACAGCTGGTTCAAACTTATAATTTCCATCACGGGGATGCACGTACAATGCGAGGTTTGATTTCTGGCTACTCCACGCAGTTCAGGGATTTCAAATGCACTATATATATATATGTATACATGTATATAGATAGACTGCTGTACAGTGCCGGTGTGGGGGATCCAGGGCTCGGTTTTCTCAACTTCTGGAAATTTGCTAATAAGGGTCCCATAATATATGCTGCTTACTTCAATACATGGTCTGAGGATTTCAGGAGTCAGGAAAGCACCACATACCATGACCAAAAATGGGTTCAGGGGCCTCCAAATCTTGCCCAAAGCGCATGTGGAACCTATAGATTGGTAGAATCCAGTGATCCCATGGGGATATGTATGCCTTCTAAAAATTCCCTGTATACAAGGAACAGAACCTCCAGAAATGCTACGAAAGGCGTTCTCTATAGACATATTGGTACCTACATATATATATATAGAAGTTTTGTACAGACCCGTACCTGATATAGGCAAGAAGCTTCATCGTAAAGCAATCAGACGTATTCAACCCGTTTAGGCCCCAAGCTTGTCTGTATCCACCATATATAACCCAGGTTGTATGCCGATGTTGAAAAGAACATGAGGACGGCAACGTTCGTGCTGCTTTCTCAGCATTAGTACCCTCAGTCGCAGCTTGTAAGGACAGTCATCCCTTCAGCCCCCCTAGAAACAATTAAGCCAGTCACCACATGCCGGATGTTAGGGGAGTGCCATTGGATTATAATGCTTGCGTCCCTGTACTTGTCCTTCCCAATTCCCCCTCAGATCACAAGGTGCACGAAGGCCGTGGCCGCCGAAACCAAAATCAGGACCGAATTGGGCTGCGCCGTACTAATGAAATTTAATCCTATATACACTATAACGATCTAGTGCTACCTTATATATATATATATAGTAATCCAAACCTATTTCTTTTCGCAAGGGCCTGTTCCGTTTCAA